AAACAAACAATTCTTCAGTTTATTTGTATTTTTGTTAACAAACATAATAATAAAAAATATTAATTGTGGTAAACGGAATAATAATTTGGTCTAAGTAAGAGTTTTTTTTTCATCTAGATTTGTAAAAATCCTTACGTGATAGAAAAAAATGAATATTAGTTTCGAAATCTGCGTAGCTGAATTATGAAAATCTGTTATTAAAACCAAAACAACTTTAATGAAGTTTAAATTCGCAGGCCTGTGTAATTCGACCTTATTTTAAGAACGTTTATTTGAGAATGTCCACTACTGAGTCAGTGGGAAGATTTCGGACTTACAGTGCTAAAATCCGGGGCTCGATTCCCGTTGTTGATAGCTCGCAGATAGCCTACTGTATAACTATGTACTAAAACATAAACAGTCGTCTAATTATATCATTTATACTGTTGACTATTCCCTTATTCTAATATCTTATATTATTGATGTCATAGGTTATCTGGGTAGACGTTCCATTTGAACTCTCAGAATGTGACCAAAATATCTCAAACGTATTTCTCGTACGATTTTTGAGACGTAGTGCTTAACAATTACATCTCTACTTTCTTTGTCAGTTTTGAAATATTATCAGTTAATTCCCAAGATCTTGATTATTCACAAAATAATTGAAACTTCGTGATTTTCCAGCTTCCAGATGCTTTAATGCTAGGTTTGAAAGTAGACTGATGTCATTGGCAAAATGACGTTATGAATAAGCCAGAGAGTTGTGATTCAAAGTATAACCAGATATAAACGAAATAATACGTTTAATTTTAAATGTTGCATGTCTTTTCTTGGAATATTTAGCAAATAATTTATATTCTGGTGAAAATAAAACATTTTAAATTTAAAGAGGGGCCATGCTTCTTTATAGTAAACGTGAGTAAAAAAGTAATTTGAATTCTCTTATTTTCAGCATCTATTAAAACATTTATACTAAACCATTATCATAATTCTATAAATTGTAACAATTACAGGTTATAAAATATCATGTTATACGAAAGTGTAACAATTACAGGTTATAAAATATCACGTTATACCAAAGTGTAATAACTACAGGTTATAAAATATCACGTTATACCATAGTGTAATAATTACAGGTTATAAAATATCACGTTATACCAAAGTGTAATAACTACAGGTTATAAGATATCACGTTATACCAAAGTGTAACAATTACAGGTTATAAGATATCACGTTATACCAAAGTGTAATAACTACAGGTTATAAATATCACGTTATACCAAAGTGTAATAACTACAGGTTATAAATATCATGTTATACCAAAGTGTAACAATTACAGGTTATAAGATATCACGTTATACCAAAGTGTAATAACTACAGGTTATAAAATATTATGTTATACCAAAGTGTAATAACTACAGGTTATAAAATATCACGTTATACCAAAGTGTATGTCTCAAGAGAGTTTTATGTTTTTTATAATGATTTATCCAGATCCATGTAATCCTAACCCGTGTGAGAATGGAGGCACCTGTAAACCCAACAGTGATGAAATGGACTACAGTTGTGAATGTTTGACTGGGTTTGGCAATAAAACCTGTTCAGAAATGGACTTTTGTAAATATCCAGAGGATGGAAACAACGGAGAAAAGGCTTGTAATGGAGTCACATGCGAAAGTATTGATGATCTCAAAACCTTCGTTTGCCAATGTGATGAATCCCAGTATTTCGACTACTCCAATTTTCGCTGTACTGATATAGGTTAGTACCCATCTCATTCTGTAGAATTTCCTATAACTTTTTCAATGATTATTTCATTAACTTTATTTTTTCTATATAAAATAATTCCAGGATTAGGTCATGACAAGAAATAATCGTAATATAAGATAATGTACCTTTTATACGTGTCTTCATAAGGCACCAAAAATGCAGTTAAAACTTCTTGTTGGTAAAATTAGCTTAATAAAAACCATTATCAATATATTACAGCCAACACAACAAGACAAATTCGTGTTTCCATCTCTTGTTATTGTTATAGTTGGTATGTTTGGTGAAGGAAAAGTAAGTCAACTGTAAATGTAATGTTGCTTTATATTCTAATAATTGTTATTAACGTTCAATCATGTATACAACAATGTAATATGTAGATATTTATTAAGAAATATTGAACGTAGTAAATTTAATAGCACCGCCATTTTTAGAACAAATAGAAATGTTACAAATTGATTGTTCTGAGTTACAGCACAATACCATTTTTAGAACAAATAGAAGTGTTACAAATTGATTGTTCTAACTTACAGCACAATACCATTTTTAGAACAAATAGAAGTGTTACAAATTGATTGTTCTAACTTACAGCACAATACCATTTTTTGTACAACATTTAATGGACCTGTAATACATCCAGAAAAGTAACCGCTTTAACTAAATATATTGGTTTACGTGTTGTAAAAATATTAATATCTGTAGCAAAGAAAGCTAATGGGTTAGTGTTTATTATAGAGGTTTAAAAATAGTAATAGCAATATTAACTAAAACGGAGGTCTACTGTTCTAAAAGTTACAGTTTAAAAACCGAAAGGCTGCGAAGTGCTAGAAATCAATAGGCCTAAAATTTGTCACAAAAAACACATTATCATCAGAAGTTTTGTTTCCAAATTCTCCTTAAGGACGTTTCTTCGGTTAACTTGATTTTCACCACACATTTCAGAGTACTGATGTTGGGTTAAATGACACACTAACTTCATTTATTGGAATGTATTTTACAACTTTACTTATAACACAAATATGTTAATACTCATTTACTTATAACACAAATGGGTTAATACTCATTTACTTATAACACAAGTGTGTTAATACTCATTTATTTATAACACAAGTATGTTAATACTCATTTACTTATAACACAAATGTGTTAATACTCATTTACTTATAACACAAATATGTTAATACTCATATACTTATAACACAAAGGTGTTAATACCCATTTGCTTATAACCCAAATTTGTTGATACTCATTTACTTATAACACAAATGTGTTAATACTCATTTACTTATAACATGAATATGTTAATACTCATTTGCTTATACCATAAATATGTTAATACTCATTTACTTATAACACAAATATGTTAATACTCGTTTACTTATAACACAAATGTGTTAATACTCATTTACTTATAACACGAATATGTTAATACCCATTTGCTTATAACACAAATATGTTAATGCTCATTTACTTATAACACAAATATGTTAATACTCGTTTACTTATAACACAAATATGTTAATACTCATTTACTTTAAAGACGAAGTCAGAATGCAGGATAGAATAAAACTCCAAAAATCCTATCCAATAATTTGAACAAATGTGGATATTTGTATTTTAAATATAATAAAGAATTCAATATGAAACTATAACGTTTTGTGTCAATAACACAAGCCTGCAAATTTAAACTTCATATTAATTGTTTTGGTTTTAATAACGGATTTTCCATAATTCAGCTACGCAGATTTCGAAACTAATATTAATTGTTTTTCTATCACTCAAGGATTTTTTACAAATCGGGAAGATGAATATTTTTTATTATGATGTTTGTTAATAAAAATATGAACCAACTGAAGAAAAGGGAATAACATTGATGACAAACGAATATACATCTTCATTCATCCTGATTTATGTGTGTGTGTGTGTGTGAAATCTACGTCATTTAGTCTCAAAACTACGTGTTGTGGTCTTTCTTTTATGTACTGCGTTATGACGTTTTGTGAAAAATCTAAACGCGATGGAGAAAAATGGATATCATTTTCGGATTCAACGTACAGGAATTACTATAAAAACATCGCAGACCTGTTTTATTTTTACATCTGTTTGAAAGTAATATGACATTGAATATAAAACTATGGTGTTGTGAGGGAAAGTAGAACTTTATCTGACCTTTGTTCTTTTATAACTGTAGACTTTCAATGCGTATTTGTTTTGTGGTGATACGATGTTTTAGATAAGTTTGAAATGACCTTTGTTCTTTTATAACTGTAGACTTTCAATGCGTATTTGTTTTGCGGTGATACGATGTTTTAGATAAGTTTGAAATGACCTTTGTTCTTTTATAACTGTAGACTTTCAATGCGTATTGGTGATACGATGTTTTAGATAAGTTGGAAAAAAGCAAATATACATACAATTCAATCATTGTTTTTATCCAGATCCTTGTAAATGGAAATTATGTGATGGAAGGCGAAAGTGTGTAATAAAAGACGACAATGTAACTTGTGAGTGTAAGGAAGAGTACACAGAAGACGACGGTAAATGCAAACGTAAGAATAGTAAACTCAAAGACGAAGTTTTTTTGTGTGTGTGTGTGTGAAATGTTCTTCATATTTTGTTTTATCATAAAATTATGCATTACTAATTTTAAAAGATGAAATTGAGCGAATACGAGACAGATAATGTGTCATAATATGTTTATAATTAAATTACCTAATTAATACATTTTCAATCTCGTTATGTGTAAATGCGTTTCCAACAATTTGATCCAAATTTAATTATTTTTAAATTGATTTAAAAATTTAAAATTATGTTCTAACTTAATCTTAATGGTATGAATATATGGATTGTAAATAGTGACATAACATTTTTAAACCATTGAAGACTGTTTGTAATTAAGCACAAAGATACACAGTGGGCTATCTGTGCTCTGCCCACCACGGGTATCGAAACCCGGATTTTAGCATTGTAAGTCCGCAGACTTACCACTGTGCCACTGGGGGGGGGCTAAATAATCTTGTTTGTTTGTTTGTAATGAAGCACAAAGAGAAACAGTGGGCTATCTGTGCTCTGCCCACCAAGGGTATCGAAACCCGGATTCTAGCATTGTAAGTCCGCAGACTTACCGCGGTGCCACTGGGGGGGGGGCACCTTTGAATAATTTATCATTTTAAATTACTCTATAAGAAAAATGAATTTTGGAAAATAAAGCGGAAACCTAGAATTTGGGCATCTGTAGAAATATCACATTAACGAACATTTTAAACCGATTAAAATACTCTGATTATTGTTATCTTCCAAAAAACTAATCTAACGATTTAAATTTCATTATATAGCCTACTTGCCTTTATTTTTTCCTACAGAATAAACATTTCAATTGAACAAACAGTTATATTTCTTAGTGAAGTATTACTATAACAAGTGCACATAATATAGCTTAAGATTTAGTAATGACCGTTAGTTTGGTTTTAAAACTGCACAAATATTTGGTCAGTTTCAGTTATGTTTATTTATATCTTTAGCGTACAGGAAATATAATAAAAGTATAATAGTACGTTTTACCATAAGCCCTTTATGTCTGTGTTTGCTGTGCAATATAATTGTAATATGATATTCAATATAACTGAGGCGAAACATCTCTAAATATGTGATTTTTATATATATATATATGTTTTTCGTCTTGTATGTAAGTTATGTAGCTGTGATGTTTTAATAGAAATATATAGTAAGTATGGTAGGTGCATCTGTAGACATTTTTTACTTAATCGTGCCTAAACTGAGAGAGAGTCATTGCGTGAATCGCCCCCTGGTGTGTTAGTGGTAGGTTTTCTGCGGTTCGATTTCCCCGCGGTGAGCAATCGCAAATAGCCCATTGCCTAGTTCTGATAAATCGAAAATAGCCCATTGTCTAGTTCTGATAAATCGCAAATAGCCCATTGCCTAGTTCTGATGTAATAAAATAATGGATGTGAAACTATTTCTGTAAATGAGATGATTTTCATGTAATATTACATACCTGTAATCCTTACTAGTTTTACTTCCCACGTTTAAGCGGTAAATATAAGTCAATAGTGAAGTAACACCTACCCACTTTAAATGTCTGTAGATATAGCAATTAAAAATCACGTTCATAACTTTTATAAATACGTTGTAATTAAGAATTTAGAGGTTGGTTAATTGGATGCTTCTTGTTAAGTACGAAGCTACAGAATTGGCTATCTGTGCCCTGCTCATCACGAACGCCGAAACCCGAATTTTAGCGTCGTGAGCCAACAATCTTACCTCTCAGACATGGGGCAACATGTATGGGTAAATAAATTTACCTGTGAACTTTACATATAATGTCAACAAGCAGCTCTAATTTTTTCACATAAACTCCTCAAATGGGCATGAAAAAAAGGAAGTGCTTAAACAAATTGATATGGGATTTGTTAGTCGCTGTCAGAAACTATGATTCCCATTTGAATACATTATGGGATAACAAGTATGTGATTTGTTAGTCGCTGTCAGAAACTATGATTCCCATTTGAATATGTTTTGGGATAACAAGTATGGGATTTGTTAGTCGCTGTCAGAAACTATGATTCCCATTTGAATATGTTATGGGATAACAAGTATGGGATTTGTTAGTCGCTGTCAGAAACTATGATTCCCATTTGAATGGTCCTTCGACGCACACTTCGCTTTCTTTACATTTTGTTTCCTCACAGTAGTTTTTGGCTATATAAATTAATAACGCATATGCAAATTTAATAGACAATAATCTTTATTTATCCAAATTAAAAGAGATGCGATATTTAGTATTAAAATGAAATTTAATGTTTCAAAATAGTCTGCGTTATAGATCTATTTTATCTTAAATGGTCATTAACAAGACAATTTATGTTTCATATATAAACAGACTTTTCAAGTTAGTCTACACATCTAACTCTATGTAATGTTCAAGTTTTTTTTTATTGTAACCACGATCACTTTGGCTTAGAAGTACTAAACTGACTCGTTTTGGATATCATTATCCATCATCGACCTAACTTGGCTCAAGGGAGCTGATATTAGTCGAAAAAGAACAACAGTTCTAAGTTGGACAAAGAATGTAACTTGTTATCCCATAGCATATTCGAATGAGAATCATAGTTTCTGACAGCGAGTAACAAATCCCAAACTTGTTATCCCAAAACATATTCAAATGGGAATCATAGTTTCTGACAGCGAGTAACAAATCCCATACTTGTTATCTAATTAACGTCTTCAAATGGGAGTCAGTTTCTGACAGCGACTAACAAATCCCATACTTGTTATCCCATAACGTCTTCAAATGGGAATCATAGTTTCTGACAGCGACTAACAAATCCTATACTTGTTATCCCATAACGTCTTCAAATGGAAATCATAGTTTCTGACAGCGACTAACAAATCCTATACTTGTTATCCCATGATGATTCTCCACAGAAAACAAGCTGTAAATGTAAAAGCGGGCTATGTAAAGATTGGAGACGAATGCACATGTAAGTAATATTTTATACCATCCTTCACTGTCAGCCAAACTATTCCACCACAAACATGTTTTATTGAACGACTAAAAAATAAACTGCTTTAAATAAAGATTCAGTATCGTCATTGGTTGACATATTCGTGGAGGAAATACAGAACCTCAAACGGAACGTTTCATTGGTGGTTCGTTGGTATTTTATTTTCAGTGTAAGAATATTGCAAGATTTAAATTAAAATCTTTGATTAGATTTCAGTGTAAAAGAAACTAAATCTATAAGTACAATTTTTCTTATAAATCATATATTGTCCATTAGGTATTTAATAAAATGTATCAGATATATGTGTATCTTTCAACTGTGTGAAAAACATCTAACGAAAAAATGGAAGATAAATCTATTTAAAAAAATTCTGGTTTAAAGCACGATATTATAGTTTTTTTTCCTAATTGCTGAGGTGTTAAGTTGGTAAAGTTTCACTGGAAATCTGATATACCAACTACACTTTTTTCACTAAGTTTAATCGTGATGTGACACGCATTATTATTTTAGTTAGTCTCTTATGTGAAACTCGATAAATTATTTACAGACGTGATGCTAAAACTTTTCTTTTTTTGGGGGGTATCTAAGTAACATCCTAAAAATTCTAATTTGCGTCTATATTCACACAGCCATCTGTGTCGTCAATAATCCATGTAAAGATTTTGAGAGATGTACACCAGAAGATGTTTCTGAAGGCAATAAGAATGGATACAACTGTACGTGTGAAGATCCGTTCACTGACAAAGATGGAAAATGTGGTATGTTAAAAAATCTTGTGTTGTTCCCTTTATTCGCCAGTTCTTGTGTTTGTTTATTTAATGTTACAATGAGTTGACTGAGTTGCACTAAATGTCACTTATCTAGATATTTTTCATTGCTTGTTAACTGTGAATGTCAAATCTTGACTGTTTATTTGGGCTTAAAACTAATAGTCTTGACTTGAAATTGGATATTTTGGTTACTTTTTCCTAAGAGAGTAACTGAAAAGGCCTAAAACATATAGTTTTAGCTTAAAATTGGTTAATTTGATCACGGTTGCTGATTCTTAAGAACATAATTTAAGTATAGCTTAAAACCTATAACTTTGTCTTAAAATTAGTTGCTTTGGTTACCTCTCTTTAAAAGGTTAATTGGTTATGTTCTCATTTACGAAATTAAAGCATCCCATTATTTATATTATGTCCTCATTTATCAAATTAAAGTATCCCATTATTTATATTATGTCCTCATTTATCAAATTAAACTATCCCATTATTTTATATTATGTCCTCATTTACCAAATTAAAGCATCTCATTACTTATATTATGTCCTCATTTACCAAATTAAAGCATCCCATTATTTTATATTATGTTCTCATTTATCAAATTAAATTATCCCATTATTTATATTATGTCCTCATTCACCAAATTAAAGTATCCCATTATTTTATATTTGTCCTCATTTATCAAATTAAAGTATCCCATTATTTATATTATGTCCTCATTCACCAGATTAAAGTATCCCATTATTTGATATTTGCTCCTCAATTATCAAATTAAAGTATCCCATTATTTTATATTATGTCCTCAATTATCAAATTAAAATATTCCATTATTTTATATTATGTCCTCAATTATCAAATTAAAGTATCCCATTATTTTATATTATGTCCTCATTTATCAAACTAAAGTATCCCATTATTTTATATTATATTCTCATTTATCAAATTAAAGCATCCCATTATTTATACTATGTCCTCATTTATCAAACTAAAGTATCCCATTATTTTATATTTTGTCCTCATTTATCAAATTAAAGTATCCCATTATTTGATATTACTTTATTATTATAGTATTACTTCCATCTTGCAGCAGGGTAGTTAGGAACTTTTCTTTCTTCTTCTGTTTTGTACTGATATGAGCCTCATCTAGATCTTATTTATTTATTAAGTTATTTCATGTAATTGTTTGGATTTTGGATTTTAAAGTACGATATTTCGAACGCAAACCATATGCACATGTGTTCTTGTTTTGATTACATTCAGAGGTTAAGATATGAAACAAATCGTATATGTCGAATAATCAAATCTTGCTCATTTTTGGTACAGATGATCCACGGTAAGATGTGACACCAAATATGAGTTACAAGTTATCACAAAATATAAGCACCCCGTATGAAGTACTGGTATTCTACTAGGGTTAACCAATACTTATAGGAATGTGGACCACAAAACAAATAAACCCATAAATAGAGAACCAAGTTTATCCTGTCTTTTCATAGCTTCAGAGAAAATGATCTTGTAGGAGAAAAAATAATAGCAACGTTGGTGTCCTTTCTTTAGGTTGTAGGAGAAGAAAGCTTGAAATATTGCAGGAGAGATCCTATTGCTCAACGCTAGCTTTTTTGTCGCTGTAAATGAGATTATTTACTCAGACTGAGATTTTTACAACAAAACGTTTAAAATGATATTCAACTGGATGTGGAAAAACTTGGATTTAATTTAATGTATAATTATACGTTGAATACCAGTTTTATTATTATTATTATTGCTGTCGACTATATATATTTATTTATTCTTTAAACTCTCTTAGAGCTGAAAGAAGAAGACAAATGTGATTTAGATTGTGGTGACGGAGGCACGTGCATGAAAACTGGCAACGAGAATAGCTGTAAATGTAAATTAGGGTATATTCTAGAACAGAAAGACGGAAATCAAAGCTGTGTTCGTAAGTAAACTGATCGTATCGTTTTTTTTTTCTTTTCTTTTTACTGCTTTGTTCAATTATTTATCTACGAAATATATTAACATTTACATAAATGTTTTATATAAAACACATTGATCGTTACTTAGATATTGTACTTAAAAAAACATATTGAACTTTATTTTCGGGCCTGGCATGGCCTAGTGGTTAGGGCTCTCGACTCGCAATCTGAGGGTCGAATCCCCCTTTACGCCGAACATGCTCGACCTGTCAGCCGTGAGGGCGTAATAATGTGACGGTCAACCCCACTATTCGTTGGTAAAAGAGTAGCCCAAGAGTTGGCGTTGGGTGGTGATGACTAGCTGCCTTCCTCTAGTCTTTCACTACTAAATTAGGGACGGCTAGCGCAGATAGCTCTCGTGTAGCTTTGCGCGAAATTTAAACAAACCAAACCTTCATTCTTGATTGTACTTTCAATTTTTCATACTACAACTAACCAATTTTGTGTGAAGAAACACTATTTATCCGAATAGACAATGCAAAATAGAAGGCGTTATTCACTTAGTGTTCTAAAAATAGAACTTTCTAGAAATAAGTTTCTTCTCCTGATCTTCTCAATCGTAAAACTTTATTACGTGTATTCTTCTTATCGCCTGGGGTGACTATATAAATCTAAATATTCTTATATATAAACATATAGTAAAGCTAATAAATTGTCCTAACTTAGCCTAACGAAATAAGCAAAGAATCACTTTCGCCTATCTATACGTCCCAGGCCCGGCATGGCCAGGTGGTTAAGGCACTCGACTCGCAATCTGAGGGTCGCGGGTTCGAATCCCCGTCACACCAAACATGCTCGCCCTTTCAGCCGTGGGAGTGTTATAATGTGACGGTCAATCCCACTATTCGTTGGTAAAAT